AAAAAGAACAGCACTGTCGAGCGGGTGTGTCTCGGCAGCAACAAGATTGCCGACGAGGGCGCCGAAGCCATCGCGTCGGCGATGTGGCAGAACATCGCCGTCCAGCAGATCGATCTGACTCTCAACAGGAACTGGCGGTGAACAAACGCGCCTGCGGCGAGGGGCCGCTGTCTGCGGTAGCCGGCGGTCTCCGGCAGTCGGGCCGACGACAGGTGGACCCACACATCTCGAGGTGTGCTTTTGCACGTCCACCCCTCCGCCGCTACACTCGCTCATACACGACAGGGGTCATCGTGTGGGAGCCCTGCGTCCTTCTAGTCATTTGGGATGTCCGCGTGGCTGTGTCCTGGCTGCTGTAAGTTTTGGTGGCTGCGGCCTGAGTCCAAGAGCTGCTTGCATTCTGGGAGTGCGGGATTCTGAAGGGTGCCCGCCCCCTGCCTCTGAAGTGCCCTCGGAGGACCCTTTGAGCAGGCTCTCGCCTCCAAGAGGTGTCTTGTGCCACTCCGCGAAGGGCCCGTGCCCAGCGGGAAGGGCGCTGCCTCTACCGGAGCGACGGAACAAAAAAACAGCATAAGCAGTCGGGGCTCAAGAGACGGGGGTCAATGCAAACGGGGGTCAGCCAGGGCACAGGATCCTGCAGGATCCTGCGAAGACCTCCTCTGGCTGACCCGGGTCAGCGAGCCGCTTGTGGCCGCGAGGCGGCCGCGCATATTGGCTGACCCGGGTTTGCGAAGACCTGCGTTGCAGTTTTTCGTTCCTGCACTGCAGCTTTTTGGCTCCCTGCTGAGCCGGGTCGGGATTGACCTGGGCCAGGAGCTCCCCGAAGCAGAACCTTGCGGAGCTCTGCGCAGACTTCCTGGATCGGCGCGTTGGACCCCCTGGCGGCGGTTGCGGCGCCGCCCCCGGCGCGCTCCGCGCGCCGAGGAAGAGGGGCCCACCGCCGATCCGGGAGCTCTGCGCGGAGCCCTGGAGGCTTGTGCCTGTGTCGAGTGGCCACGGCAAGAGCTGTTCGGGGGCGGACAGACCTCCTACCCCGACGCGTCGATTGAGGAATTTTGCCGTTTTCGAAAGTTCGCGAGAGGGCGTCGCGGCCGTCAGTTTTGCGGGTTCAGGTCCGTCGGGTTCGGTCCCAGGCCGTTTTCACTAAAGGGAGGTTTATGAAAGGGAGGTTTGTCCGTTGCCGAACTGTGACGAAGACGGGCAGCTGTCTTGGTCTATTGCTGAGGCCTCACGGCCGGTGCCGCCGACCCCGGAGGCCTCGGCCCTCGACGGAAGTGGGAGGGAGAGGGCGGGCCATGGGCCCCGGGAGGGTGGGATTCTGACCCGGGACCCCCCCCCCTAGGACCCCCTTCCGGGACCCCCCCCCCTTCGAGTAAACACCGACGTTGCTCAGATTGGCTTTTTGAGCAGAGCTCGCTATCGGGCGTCGCCGCGGGCGTTGTCCGTCTGAAACAGAACGGCTTGCCTTCCCAACAGCGGCCGCTGTCGGTTCTGAACAGCATCTGCTGTTTGGCGTTGCGCCCGTTTTTTCCGTGCACGCTTCGGGCGTGCCAATTCGGGGATCCCTGGAGGAAATTGGGCTTCTAGCAACCGCTTGACTATGAAGGCATGATGTGCCCGCTAAGCCCCAGACAGGATCAAGGACGCCGGCGGGGAAGCGATCGCCTCTGCCCTCAAGCACAACACGACGATCCAGCGGCTGTCTTTGGACAAGAACGATATAGGAGGTGAGAGGGATGAAGCTCTTGTCTGAAGCATGCCTGTCTTTGCTGTCTCTACCATGGGTGCAAGATCGCAGCATTATAAGCACGTCTAAGGGTGCACGCGGTGGTGGTCACTCGATCGTATTCTTGGATCTCCCTCGTAATGGCCTTCGGGATTTTCCCTTGAAACCCATCGCCGTCATCTTTTCCGACGTACCGTCCATCGGACGTCTTGTTATCATAATTATGTCATTCTTATTTGTTTCCTTCTTCCAGCGTTTCGCTCTCTCTGCTGGACCATACTGCATTATTCGTTGTCTCTTGCCCGTGCCCTCGAGGGGATTTGGAAGGGGTTCGGTTGCGGTCATTTCGGCAAGTTGTCGTGTGAAGCTCGCGTTGGTGGAAACAGTCGCTTGGTAGATGGAGGGCAACGCTTAGGCCTCCAGTCCATCCCGCCACCGCGCCTGGGTTGTGGGTCAGAGGCCTTTTGGATGCATGTGAGGGTCTCTTGGGATGTCATTCGGGTGGCCTCTTGGAGGGATCTTTGGGGCGGCTTGGGAGCCTCTGGGGAAGCGCCTTGGGAGCTTCTTGGGGCCTCCCGGAAGCCTCTTTCGGGCCTCCTGGGGGCTACCTGGGGGCCTCTTGGGTGCGTCTTGAGGCCTCTTGGAGGTCTTTGTGGGGCTTGTTGGCTGTTGTGGGGATCGTCTTGGGGCGGAGGGCTGGAAAGGTATCTTCGTTTTCCTCATGTTGGGCCCTCTTGGAGTCCTTTTGGCCGTCTGGGAAGGCTGTTGGGCCGTCTTGGGGCCTCTTCGGCCGTCTTGGGGTCATCTTGGAAGCCTTTTGGGATGTATTGGGGCGATCTTGTGGGCTTTTTGGGCTGTCCTGGGGCCATGTTAAAGGTGTTTCATCTTGACGGCCTCTTTGGCTGTCTTGAGCCGACGGACGCCCGAAAAGGCAAGAACTTGAGAATCGTTGAACAACCTATGGGGAATTCACTTATTTTTTCACCCTTTTGGACTTCTTCTCGGAGCGCTCTTGGGCGGCCTCTTTGGCTGCTTGAGGCGATATTGGGCTGTCTTGGAGAGCTCTTGGGCCGTCTCGGGACGCTCTGAAGCCTTCTTGAGGCCATCTTCGGCCGTCTTGGAGAGCAATCGGGTTGTATTGGCACCCTTTTGAGCCTGTTCCTGCAGCGCTTTGCGTCTCGTGGAGCGCCCTTGAGAGCTCCGAAGGCCACAGGTCCAGAGTTTGCCAGACTTGCTCGGGGCACTTTTTGTCTTGGGACCCCCAGGGGACAGCTTGCGCGCGCGAGCAATAACTATTTTAGACGCTTCGCTAAACCCCGCCAGCCCATCCAGAAACGATGTCCAGACGAGCCGCCCTGATCAGGGAGGTGGAGGAGAATGCAGTGTAGTATAGAGCTGGGTAAGGCGTCGTACCCCACTGGGGGGATGTTTTTTTGACCTCTTCGCTATCACCTCTGACCACTCCGACGAACACGAACTCCAGGAAGACCAGGCCGAGCGGCACGACGACCGGGTACGGCATCACGACAGCGAGGGAACTGCCGTGACCATTATCTGCAGTGACTGCTAAAAGCCGAAGCCGTCCAGGTCGAACTCGTCGAGCGGGTCTGTGCTGGAGTCGTCGGACCACGCCACCGCGAACCGAGAGAACAACGCTCCAGCATCCGCCACTCCTGTCCTTGGCGGGCTCCCACTTGCATAATCACTGCAGCCGAACAAGCGGCCTTCACCAGGACCGACGGGGAGTCCCCGCGGGATCCACGACGGGGCGGCGAGAGAGGGCAAGGGGTCCTCCCTCTGCGGCACCGAGCTGCTCGTCTGCACGTGCACTTCCCCTCCCTCAGAGCCTTCAGCCGCAGGAGGGAGGGTCCCCACGGCTGGTAGCTGGGCAGCCTCCTCCTTCTCGAAGTCCGCCTGGGCCTCCGTCTCATCCTCTGGCTCCGCGTCCACGCGGAGGCGGCGGCGGACGAAAGGCTGCAGCGAGCGACCGAGTGGCACCGCCCACCTATGCAGCTGGAGCAGCACGCCCTGCTGGAACTCCAAGTCGAAGCCGTGCTCCACGATGCCGCCGCTGCCGTCGCGATCGGCGGACAGCTGAGGTACACCAGCCTTGAGCTCGGCACGACACGGCACCGCAAGGGCAGCCACCCCCGCAGGGGCCCTTGCACGACACCCGTTGCCAGCTCCTCGTCGCCCTGCGCCTCGCCCAGCTCTGCGAGCCGCCAGCCCGCGGCGAGGCCACGCACGAAGGCCTGGGCCGCACTCTCGGCGGTGGGGCGACAGCCATGCCACACGCCAGGTGCGAGCCACTCGGCCGTCGGCTGGGCTTGCTGCTCCTCGGCACCCGCGTCGAAGACACCGCAGGAGCCGTCCACGATGTCGCCAGCGCAATGCCCCAGCCTGGGCCCAGCGGCCGCCCAGGAGATCGCCTCGTCGGGGGCTGCCTCGAAGCCCCCTGAAGGCACACGCTGTGCGTGCCACGAGGCGTTTCTCCGCCTGCGCACGCTGCCTGGGATGCGCCGCCCGGCAACCAGTAGACGAAACGCGGGTTGCGCCCCACGCTCACGATCTTGCCAGCTGCCAGGGCCGGCGCCAGCGCTGCGGGCCACCACCGCAGCCACCAGCGCCTCCTGCTTCCGGCGTCGGGCGGCTCGGCGAGCCGCTGACGGGCCGAGCGAGGCGGACTCGGCTCGGCGAAGAACGCTGGACGACCACATGGACGGGTCGCCCCCGTAGCCATCTCCATCACCAGCGTGCGGGCCGCCAGCAGCCCGGGCCGAGGGAGACATCACCATGCCGGCTTGAGCCGCGGGGGGCCGCGCGCGGGACGGCATGAGCCAAAATGGCTACGGAATAGGGGGGGGGATGGAGGATGGGGGATGGAGGATGGAGGATGGAGGATGGAGGATGGAGGATGGAGGATGGAGGAGGACGAGGAGGAGGAGGAGGAGGAGGAGGAGGAGGACGAGGACGAGGAGGAGGAAGCGCGCGCTCTGGGGGGCTGGTGGGGTTCTGGGGCTCTTGGCGGGGGTGTTAGCACACCTCTGGCCCATTGGGCTGGCGAACTTATCCAGCGGGCATGGGCACTTACCTCTGCCTCTGCGATTCGCCTCACGCTGGCCTCACCTAGATCGTGCTTGAGTAGGTGTCCGTTCTCCTCTTCCCTTTTCCAGATTTGCCCTGTAGTGCGTGCGCTGCATTATGAAGTGGATCGCCGGGCGGCACTCAGCGCTGCGCGAGAGACCGTCGGTAAACTCACCTCCCTGGTGCCTCACAGATCTCTCTCCTCTCGCCTTTCCCCGACCCCCTCCTTCGCACCGTCTCTTTACCGTCGCTCGGACGCGTGCTTCTATTTCCTCGGCGACGACCATCAATGAGCTTCTTGGATGATCTTGCGGACACAATTCACGCACGCACGAACATGAACAATGCACGGGGAATGGGCGTCCGATCGATGGCGAGCCTCTCCTCTGCACGATCTCCCTGCTGCACACTGAAGCGGCTAGCTCTGGGGATGCAGGCTTGTTGCATCGTGTCAGTGTCGACCATGGTGAAACACCCCCCCTCCCTACCCCCTCCATCGCTGCTACCGCTCCGCCCTCCCTTGCCCCTCACTCCGGCTGCTCCCGCCCCGTCCCGCCCTGCCCCCCCTCGGGGGTCGCCGAATACACACCTACGCCGATCCTGGCCAGGCCCATGTGGGAGGAGGAGGAGGAGGAGGAGGAGGAGGAGGAGGAGGAGGAGGAGGAGGAGGAGGAGGAGGATGAGGAGCAGAGCAGGAGGATGAGGAGGAGAGAGTAGGAGGAGGAGGAGGAGGAGAGAAGAGAGGGAGAGGGAGGAGGGGGAGGAGGAAGAAAGGAGGAGGGAAAAAGGAATGAGGGAGGAGGAGGATGAGGAGAGAGGAGGAGGAAGGGAGGAGGGAGGAGGGAGATGGAGGAGGGAGGAGGGAGGAGGGAGGAGGGAAGAGGGAGGAGGGAGGAGGGAAAAGGTGGAGGAGAAGGAGGAGGAGGAGGAGGAGGGGAAGGGAGGAAGAGGGAGGGAAAGACAATGGATTACGATGATGATGCTGATGCTGCTGATGCTGATGCTGATACTGATGATGCTACTGATCACGATCATGATGCTGATGATCTGATACTGCTGATGATGACGATGATCATGATGATGATGCTGCTGATGATGATGACGACGATCATGATGATGACGATGATGATGCTGATGATGATGATGATGATGATGGTGATGATGACGATGATGGCGATGCTGATGATGCTTCTGCTGTTGCTGCTGATGGTGATGCTGATGCTGAGGATGATGATGCTGGTGATGGTGACCATGATGCTGCTGATGATGATGTTGATAACGATGACGATCACGATGATGATGAGGATGATGCTGATGGTGGTGATGATGCTGGTGATGCTGATTGAAATGATGATGATGTTGATGCTGATGCTGATACTGATGAGGATGATGCTGATTTTGATGATGATGATGATGCTGATGTTGATGCTGATGATGCTGATGATGCTGCTGCTGATGATGATGATGATGAGGATGAAACTGATGATGATGATGATGATGTTGTTGTTGTTGATGCTGATGATCATGCTGCTCATGACGATGGTGCTGATGCTGATAATGATGGTGATGATGAGGATAACGATGATGATGATGATGATAATGATGATGACGATGATCATGATGCTGATTGTGATGATGATGCTGATGATGATGATGCTGATGATGATGATGATGATGATGGTGATCATTATGATGAATCTGATGATGATGGAAATGGTGATAATGATGATGCTGATGATGATGCTGCTGGTAAGGATGCTGCTGCTGATGATGGTGGTGGTGATTTTCTTGGTGGTGATGATGATGGTGATGCTGATGATGATAATGATGAGGATGATGAGGACGACGACGATGCTGATTCGGATGCTGCTGATGATAATGACGATGATGATGGCGATGCTGTTGATGACGATTTCTA